ATGCAGCAGCTCGCCCATGGTGGAAAATCTGTCCTATCTAAATGATCTCCAGTCACTGTCTGGTTGAAAGTGAATGCTTCCACCGATTACGAATACTGAAGCAGTCTTTCTGAAACCACGTACGCCGTTCAAGCTGGCTTCCTTCAACGTTCGCACACTAATGCATATCAGACAACAGATAGAGCTGGCTATGTCTTTGGAAGGTCTTAATGTTGATGTTTGTTGTCTATCCGAGACCCGTATTCAAGACTCTAGTGAAGTACTACAAATCCGCTCTCCATCTGTCACCTCGAAAAGGTTGCTCCACGTGCGCTTATTCGGGGACCCTGTGGCATCTTCGTCTGGTCTTGTTGGCGTTGGTGTTGCACTAAGCGCTAGGGCTGAGGCAGCACTAATCGATTGGATCCCCATTAACAGTCGGTTATGTGCTGTTAGATTGGAAAGTTCCATGAAATTGAGAAGAAATCGGCGTGAGAAGCGGTGTCTTTTTGTCATCTCCGCCTATGCCCCGACAGATTGCAGCCCGGATGCAATCAAGGATGAGTTTTACCATCAGTTAACAGTTCTCCAGAAAGCGCGTTCGACAGATATTGTAGTACTAGCCGGAGACTTGAATGCACAGGTCGGGCGTCTAGGCACAGAAGAGAGTCGTTTAGGTGGCCGATGGGGACTTGTTGGTCGCAGGACAGATAACGGGGACCGTTTGCTGCAACTGTGCACAGACCACAACCTGTTTCTGGCCAGCACTAACTTCCGGCACAGTCATCGCCGGTGTGCCACCTGACGTCCTCCCTCTGCATCCCAAGCCTGGACTCAGATTGATCACATCGCGATCAGCTACCGCTGGCGTGGTTGTGTACAAGACTGCCGCTCCTTTTGGAGTACCTATCTGGAGTCTGATCATGCCCTGGTCTGCGCCAATCTCACCTTACTTTTCAGTGGTCGAAGGATTGACCACCACCAACGGATTGATGTTAGTAAACTGGCTGCAACTTCTGTTGCAAGTAAGTATCGAGCGGAGCTAGCCTCTAGGCTAGCTACCACCCCACCGAAAAGTATAGATGAGCATTGGTTGCTTCTTCACGACGCCATGAAAATGGCGAGTAAAGCCGCTTGTGGCTTCGCGAAACGTCCCGCTTACAAGCACTGGGTTTCTTCTGGCTCCTTACAACTGATGGAAGCCCGTCGGTCTACTCCGGGTGACCGTGAGTTTGACCACAAACGAAGGCTGTTACGTAATGAAATCGGGCAAAGCTTGCGTAAGGACCGGGAAGCCTGGTGGTCGGAGCGTGCTAATGAGATGGAAGCAGCAGCTGCATCTGGTAACTGCCGGAAGCTCTTCCAACTCATCCGAGTCACCGGCAGCAAGAAGTCTGGTGTGAGTGAAACAATCTACGAGGATGATGGGATGCCAATCACTAATATCTCTCGACGTCTTGGACGATGGGCGGAATTCTTCGAAGGGCAGTTCAACTGGCCTGCTGCTCCGGCAACATCAACCAGCTTGTCCTGCCCTCCATGGCCGGTGACGACTGATCCACCAAACGAGGCGGAAGTCCGCAAGGAACTCCAACTCTTGAAGCGTTACAAATCACCGGGCCCAGATGACTTACCTCCGGCTCTTTTTAAAGATGGTGGTGACCTTCTGACTAAGGAATTGACTGTGTTGTTTGGAAAGGTTTGGGAACAAGAAAGTGTTCCAACATCTTGGAATGAGTCGATAGTCGTCCCTATCTTTAAAAAGGGTTCACGTTGTTCTTGCAATAACTATCGGGGGATAAGTCTACTTTCGATTGCGTCCAAACTATTGGCTTCTATCATTCTTCGTAGGTTGTTTAAAACCCGAGAACGATTGACTCGCGAGGAGCAGGCTGGTTTTCGTTCTGGTCGAGGATGCATTGATAACATCTTCACCCTCCGCCAAATGTTAGAACACCGTCATACTTATCGCAGGCCAACAATCGTAGTGTTTCTTGATATCAGGGCGGCCTTCGATTCGTTGGACAGGACTGTTCTCTGGGATTGTCTGTTGAAGAAGGGTGTGCCTGAGAAGTTCATTAACATCTCAAAGGCCCTGTATACGAACACCTCAGGCAGAGTGAGGGCATACAACCACCTTTCTCCCTTGTTCCATTCGAACAGTGGGGTTAGACAGGGTTGCCCGATCTCACCATTCCTCTTCAACTTTGCCATCGACGACATCCTGGAAACAGCTCTGGTGGATGTAAGTAATGGCGGTGTGGATATGTTGCCTGGAGAACGACTTCTCGACCTCGAGTATGAGGATGATATTGTCTTACTGTGCGATAATGCTCAAGCCATGCGATTCGCACTTAATCAGTTGGCAATCAGTGTCCGCAGGTACGGCATGTGCTTTGCGCCCTCCAAGTGCAAAGTACTCCTACAAGACTGACAGGATTCTCATCCTGTACTCACCCTGGACGGTGAGCAGATTGAAGTAGTTGAGAAGTTCGTGTATCTAGGTAGCTATATAAGTTCTGGTGGTGGCGTGAGTGATGAGATTGATGCACGTATAATGAAAGCCAGAGCGGCTTATGCCAATCTGGGCCATCTTTGGCGCCTTCATGATGTTAGTCTGGCTGTAAGAAGTCGGATCTACAACGCGTCGGTGAGAGCAGTTTTGCTCTATGCTTGTGAAACCTGGCCTCTCCGAGTTGAGGATGTTAGACGACTCTCTGTGTTCGATCATCGTTGTCTCCGAAGGATTGCTGACATCCAGTGGCAGCACCATGTTAGTAATGCAGAGGTTTGGCATCGTGTGTTCTGGCGCAGGGATGATAATTCAATTGGTGTCACCATCTTGAAACACCGACTTCGGTGGCTTGGACATGTTTTACGAATGTCGTCCCAGAGACTTCCACGTCGTGCATTATTTGCCGACCCTGGGACTGGTTGGAAAAAGCGGAGAGGAGGTCAGTGTATGACATGGTGTTGTGGCATGAAAGAAAGCTGCAAAGGGCTAGCTTCTGTTGGTCCTTCACGACTCCCTGGCTGGGGTCCGAGAGATGGTGCAACACAGTGGCTAGAGACGTTATCAGATATGGCTCAGAATAGAAGCCAGTGGCGATCCTGCTGCAACCTTCTTTTACTTTGTACATAAAGAATGGTTCTAACTTTCTTAACTGAAAGAGTCTTCTGGTTGTACATTTCAGTCCGCCTTATCATTTTATCCCTTCTCTTCCTACTTTCATTATTTTGTGTGGCGCATATGTACCTGGTGCCCTTTTGTACCAATATATATGTGTTAAATAAATGAATAAAATAAATGATGAGCGGACAGATGATAACCCAAAATATCTACCCTTAGCCTTGAGGTACTTTTTAAGACCATCTCGCGTAGGAACCACTGTGAGGTTACGAATGAAGCATACGCAAATTACCGGAGCCAATATTGTAAGATAATTGGCAACAACTCACTACTGAATAGGGTAATCTAACATTTTTGTGTGAAATAACAAAGCATTAACGGTTTTAATAAAACATGCAAAATTTTAAATATTCCTGTCTAATAGTGTAAGATGTTTTTGGTACCAACCACCTCTCTACATTAGGAAAACAAATTTACTTTTTTATATTTTAGGCATGGAAATTCAGTGAGTGATTTCTATGTTATCCAAAAACACAATAAATTGATGTTTTGAGGTCAAGATCACCACTTTGAGAAACTGAAGATATGAATTATCATAAGAATCTTTAACAAACGTTCAATAGCATTTTACACCAAGGTTTATTTTTAGAAAGCAGACTTTAAATATCGAAATTATAATAGTTCAAGTAGATGATAAACCACACGTCATTATTGTCACATTTGGTGCAGCTCAGCCGCAGTAAATGCGATGTTAGTGGAGTTCTTTCTGAGCTGGGTGGTTTAGTCGTGGAAACTTTATTGTCTTTTTTGAACAAAATAACCAGCACAATTTTCACGTAGAAGTGAAATAATCGGATTCCTCCACATGTGTTTAACTGCATATCCCGTCGCCCTCGATCTCGACCGATTATTGTTGGTCGTTAATCTGTCATTATCTACATTTCCACTTTGAATGTATCTCCTTTTTATCTGATTCTTGTTCACAAGAACAAATAAAGGTTCACGACCAAACCATTTAGCTTAGAAAACCAAACCACGAAAATCATCCACCTGAGCGACAAATCTTGACCATCTAAAATCCATATGAGCGAATGTTGTTTATTTGAAGCTGTGGATGTTATAAACATATGTATTGACGGTTAAATCCGAAATACGACTTCTACTACTTCGCTTAAATAACTACCATTTTGCCATTATTAGAAGTAGAAGCTGATCTTAATGAATCCTCGAAGTTTTGTGGAAAAATGTGAATGTGCAGACAACGACATAGGATGTTTCATTTCGCACTTGTTTGAAGCTCACATTTGAAACCACAGTACATTTCTACCAACTACTAATGTTGCGTGTATGGGGATAGTTCTTATTTTTTCCTGTTTGAATATTGAAGTAAAGTGGCTTTTACGTATTTGAAGTCGATAAAAAGATACATGGTGGCGAGTTAATCATAGTGAATTAATATTAGTGTTAGGAACTCACACCCAGTATTCAGATCTAATATACTTATTTATTTATTTATTTAAACATAAATATTGGTACAAGGAAGCACCAGATAAATATGCGCCATACAAATCTCATTCGATTTGCTTAAGGGTTGTGATACTGCTCAGGTGCCCGAACTGAAGCAGATGGTTTTCTTAGGGGCCCATACCCGGAGCCTTTGACCGAAAGATCTGATCCACAAGGCAGTGGAGCATCGTGAGGAAATGCAGTCTCATGGTATCCGGTGATCAATGATTGATTCCTACGCCATTTGTTCCTTCAGGATACTGGAGCCCATGTGCACCATGTGCAATTAATTCAAGTTCCTAAGCCTGGTGGTTGAAAATGATTTAATCTGGTCAAGAAACATGATTCTTAATGACAAAGGTAAGATCCACTACTCGTCACCTACTTGGACACCCTACTTTTAAAATAACCTCACTCTAGTCCATGCAACCTTGAGGGGCTAAATGGTTGTAGGGCCTTCTGTTTCTGAATACCACGAAGTGACAGTGGAAATAAACTCAACGTTTTCAGGTAAGTCTCATCAGTTCGTAGTTTATTTTTTGGGTTTATATGCCTAATTATATATAGTCAGCTATTTTAGGTAACATGTCTGTTCATATTGTAGCTGTTAATAATTTCCCAAACAGATGGGAACAGGTAAGGAAACCTTACTCTGTGACACATCTGCAGGTAAGGATCATACAATCGACGCAACGTCTTCAATACGTTGCACAATTTTTCTCGTCCAGGTGTTCGTGCAACAATCAAGCTTATAGCCGAACGGTTTTGATGGCCTGGTATGAATAAAGACGTGAGGAAGTGGGCACGCTCCTGTGTAAGCTGTCAGAAATCTAAGGTAATAAGACACAACAAATGTCCCTTAAGCTCTTTCAAAACCCCTGATGCCCGTTTCGACCATGTTCATCTAGATTTGGTAGGACCCTTACCCGATTCGAACGGATACTCATATCTCCTAACATGCGTAGACCGTTTTACTCGATGGCCAGAAGCAGTACCGATTAAGGACATCACTGCTGAAACAGTGGCTCGCGCTTTAGTCGAACGATGGGTAGCAAATTTCGGCTGCCCTTCAACCATCACTACAGACCGCGGACGCCAGTTCGAATTTGGACTTTTCCGTTGTCTGACCTCACTTTTAGGAATCACGCGCTTCCGAACGACCGCCTACCACCCACAAGCGAACGGGTTGGTAGAACGTTTTCATCGACAACTAAAAGCTTCATTATCAGCTTCAAGCGTTTCACAGTGGACAGACGCTCTACCACTCGTCTTGCTAGGTATCCGCAATGCAGTGAAAGTTGACATTGGATACACGGCATCTCAACTCGTTTATGGAACGGCACTCCGACTTCCAGGAGAATTCGTATATCCTCCAGCTTCTTCATTGAACATGGATCTAAACTCTTACACGAGTAGGCTTACAAACGCTATGCGTTCAGTTAAACCTGCTCACACTCGACCTCAATCAACTGATGTTTTTGTTCAACCCGAATTACGACATAGTACATACGTTTTCATTCGTCGAGACTCACATCGACGACCCCTCGAATCAGCATATGAAGGACCCTTCAAAGTTCTTCAACGTGAACCTAAGTATTATGTAGTTGATAAGCACGGCACGAACGATAGCATCAGTATCAATCGCCTCAAAGCAACGTACTTAGAAGGAAACCCTAGATATGCCGATTTTCATTCGGTACAAAAGAATGACACGGCTAACATACTCGTAATAACCCACAAGACAGCCGACACACACCTTGATACTTCGTAAACATAGGAAAATAAACCTAAAACAACGCGTTCAGGAAGAAGAGTAAGATATAGTGACATTTATGTCTAGTGATTTTTTGTAACAACAAATTAAAGGTCACATATTTTTCCTAGTTGTCACACTTTTAATGTAATCACACTCATGTTCGATATCTATTGTTTTTCTGTATCAATGGTAAAGAAATGAATACTTATGTTTGGTTATATATAACACGACTTTACTACCGCGCTTCTTAAAATATAAACGTTGTATCCGCCGTCTATTCTTCTGCTTTAACGGCCACGGCCTTTGATTGAAGATTATAATAGTATTATAACATCTTTTTAGACCATTCCACACTACGTTGGTGTTTTGGCCCGGATCATTACTGAATAATACTACTGGATCTAATCTTCTCCACTTTGCTGTTGGTGTCATCATGTGCAGAGGAATCTTTGTTAACCAAGTGAACTTATTTGTGGTTGTTATCTCAGAAAGCAGCTTACAAGTAACATTCATTTCATAACACTGTTACCATTTCGTTGCTCAATATACCTTTTTATAATTTAACTGTAATTTGTTACCTTTTGCATTAATCATAGACACACGCTTAGGTTCGTAGTGTTAATTCTTTTGGTATATTGTTGGTAACGTTGCGTATTGTTATATTTTAACTAAGCTCTTTTGCTGAGGTCCACCACAAATCTGGTGAGCCCTTATATTTCTCTTTGGAACTGTAATTCTGAGTTCACTTATAAACATTACGGCGCTGATTTTTCTCTTGGCAGTGATTATTTTTTGTATATTTGTAATGTTTTCATCCGAGTCTGAAGTCAATAGCCAGGACAACGACCGAACAGAGTTACACGCTTTAAACGTGATAAATGTACCTCCATTCAGTAGAATAAACCCTCGTATATGGTTTGCACAGGTGGAAGTGCAGTTTCAGCGTCGTAACATTCGTTCACAACAACAACTCCTTTGTGCTTGGAATTCTACCAACTGAGGTAGCATCTGAGGTATCAGACCTCATAGACAACGTCCCTGTATCAAATGCCTACGACCAGTTGAAGCAGGCTATTATTCAACGTACCTCACTCTCGGATGAAAAGAAGCTACAACAATTGCTACATGAGTGCGAGCTAGGTGACAAGTCACCCTCCCAATTATTACGCCACATGAGGCAGTTGGCTGAACCTTTTAAGGTTGGTGATATATTTCTGAGAGAAAATTGGCTACAACGTTTACCAACAGTAGTCCGGCAAATTCTCTACGCTTCTAACCAATCTTTAGATTTAGAGGTTCTAGCTAGCATGGCTGACAAAGTTTTAGAAGTAACGCCAGGCACAACACCCTACGTGCAGGCGATATCACAAACTTCGAGTGACACTAAAACTCCGAACATAGCTTCCTTAACAGCCGAATTAAGTGACTTACGTACACAGCACGCACGCACTGTTGCCAGTCTTGAAAACAAGCTAGATACATTACAATCAATTATTTCCAATCTCACATCTCGAAAGTCTCGCTCTAGTTTTCAGAGGACCAAGAACCGAGATAACTCAAGAACAAAGAAAAATGATGACATCTGTTGGTACCATAGAAAGTATGGTGACAAAGCTAAAAAGTGTGTTACGTCCTGTAAATTTTTCAGGTCATTTTCCTCGCCAAAAGATGTCAACCAGGCAGTAGTACCGACAAATGTTACAGGTCATGCTACTAGTCACCTTTTCCACGTTCTCGACAAAACGTCTGGCTACAAATTCTTAGTAGACACTGGAGCCGAAGTCAGTATTATCCCAGTTACGCTAGCCAAGAAACCTATTTCTAAATGTGGAAAATATTCATTGAGAGCAGCTAATAAAACTGAAATAAAAACATTTGGAGAACAACTCTTGACATTAGATTTGGGAATTAGACGTCGACTAAACTGGGTGTTTATTATTGCTGATGTCCGTCACCCTATATTAGGTGCAGACTTTTTGAGCTCCTATAACTTATTAGTCGATGTTAAAAAACGAAAACTTATCGGTTCGTGCACAAAACTCCAAGTTCATGGAATCCAGTCACACTATCATATACATAGTATTAAAATCAACACTCCAGTAAACGACATATTCGCCAATATTTTATCTAAATTTCCAAAGTTAACGAAACCAGATTACAGCGAAAACACCATCCAGTATTCTGTGGTGCATCGAAATATCACCAAAAAACCAACCAGTTTCGGCACGTCCTCGTCGTTTACCACCGGACAAACTTGCAGTTGCAAAAGCCGAATTTGAGCACATGATGCGACTGGGAATAATACGTCCGTCGAGTAGCTCCTGGGCATCCCCACTCCACATGGTACCTAAGCGGGATCAGGATTGGCGACCCTGTGGTGATTATCGATCACTGAATAACTTAACTTTACCAGATCGTTACCCCATTCCCCATTTACACGATTTTTCACTTACGTTACACGGTAAACAAATTTTTTCTAAAATCGACCTTGTGCGAGCGTACCATCAAATTCCAGTAGCATCTGAAGATATAGCAAAAACAGCCATCATTACCCCATTTGGTTTGTTTGAATTTCTTAGAATGCCATTTGGATTAAAGAACGCCGCACAGACTTTTCAACGATTTATGGATGAAGTCACTAAAGGCCTAGATTTTGTTTTCGTGTATATCGACGATGTATTAATAGCTAGTGGTTCGTTTCACGAACATATTGATCACCTACATCAACTTTTCGAAAGATTTCAGAGATTCAGTATAGTCATTAACCCCTCCAAATGCATTTTCGGAGTCGAAGGCTTAGAATTTTTGGGTCACTCGATTGACAAACATGGTATCAAACCCTTAGATGCAAAAATTGAAGCTATCAAAAATTTTCCAGAGCCAGACTCACTAAATAAACTTCGACGTTTCTTGGGTATGTTTAATTTTTATCGTCGGTTTATCCCTAACTGCTCAGATATTCTACAACCCCTAACGGAGGCGTTAAAAGGCAAAGCCAAAAAGTTCACATTATCCCCCGAAGCGAAAGATGCCTTTACTGCTGCTAAAACAGCGAGTGCTTCTACCACCATGCTGACCTACCTCAGTCCTGATCCAGAAGCAACACTAATTTTGTGTACAGACGCTTCTCAGGCAGCAGTAGGCGCGGTGCTGCAACAAAGAGTAAATAATGAAGCCAAGCCACTTGCTTTCTTTTCAAAGAAGCTAGAACCGGCCCAAACCCGATACAGCACGTTTGGTAGAGAATTATTAGCAGTTTATTTAGCAGTTAAACATTTTAAACACTTACTACAAGGTAGAGATTTCGTAATCTTCACTGATCACAAACCTTTGACTTACGCTTTCAATGCCAAAAGTGATCGTTATTCTCCTAGAGAAACTCGACAGTTAGATTACATTTCTCAATTTTCTACCAACATACAGTTCATAAAAGGTGAGTCAAATGTTGTGGCAGATACTTTGTCACGTTTCGACGTTGATGCTATTTGCTCCACTAAAGGAATTGATTTTTTGGACATTGCACGCTTACAGGTTGATGATTCTGATCTTGTTGCTAGTAAACAAAATTCGAGTCTAGTATTAAAAAGTATTCCAATACCACATTCTGATTCTACTATAATCTATGATACTTCAACTGGAATACACAGGCCATTTGTGCCAATAGCATACAGGAAAAAAGTTTTTGATTGTCTTCATTCATTATCTCACCCAGGAGTTCGAGCTACTGTGAGACTGATCGGAGAAAGATTTGTCTGGCCAAAAATGAACTCGAACATAAAGGAATGGAACAGAAATTGTTTACAATGCCAGCGTAGCAAAGTTCACAGATATACGATTACAACACCGTCAACATTCAATCTACCTGACCATCGTTTTCAGCATGTCCACGTTGATTTAGTTGGTCCTTTAGCTCCATCTAACGGATTTACTTACATCTTTACTGCAGTGGACCGTTTTACCAGATGGCCAATAGCATGTCCAATAAAAGATATCTCAGCAGAAAATATTGCTGCCGTGTTTCTTGACAGATGGATTTCTAATTTCGGTGTACCTTCTACCGTTACTTCCGACAGAGGTTCACAATTCCAATCGCACCTCTTCAACGAATTTACGCGCATCTTGGGAATCCATCACATCACTACAACTGCATATCATCCAGCAGCAAATGGACTAGTGGAACGATTCCACAGACAACTTAAAAGCTCATTGATGGTACAGCCTGATGTAACTAGATGGAGTGAATTCCTACCTCTCATATTATTGAGCATACGCTCGACAATTAACGAAGATCTACAATGTACACCTGCTCAGCTAGTTTATGGAACTAATTTAACCTTACCTGGTCAACTAGTCACGCATAAAGGCACTTCTGTATGTACAGACCCCTCCTCCTTTTGCGAAAGACTAATGAGCCACATGAATAGCATTAAGCCTGTTGCACCTCAACCAGTCTTCTTAAAAGAGCAAATTAGCAAGCACCTAAACACATGTAAATTTGTGTTTGTCCATGTCTACTCAGTAAGACGTCCTTTACAACACCCTTATGAAGGACCTTATGAAGTAGTAGACAGGCAAGCAAAATATTTCACAATCAAGAAGAATGGGAAAAGGGAAACAGTTGCAATTGGCAGGTTAAAACCCGCTTTCATAGAGTCTGAAACACATAACAGTCGAAAGCCTTCTAAAGACAACAACTGCACAACACAGCTTCCTGCGTTTCCAGCTAATTCTTCACCTACTTCTGTGAAATCGCCAACTCAAACAATGTGTGATGCTAATGTTACGGCTCCTACAAACTTAGTTCCTAATTCCACTACCTTACCTATTTCAAAAACTACTCGTACAGGAAGACAGGTACATATTCCTAAACGTTATGCTGAATTCATTACTTAATCTTCCTTCGGTCATATTCTGTAATGTGAGTAAATACCCATATGCTAATAGTTACTCATGACATATTTTTAACTATAAGTGTATGCGTTTTACATGATGCTCATTATTAACTGTAACGATACTCAACTTCGTTGTATTTGTTCATTTTATAATTGATCGTTTACATTGACATATACAGATATTAAAAGTTTTTCCCGTAATATCAATTTAATTAACGTTATTGTTAATAACACAATTATTTTTATTATACGTTCAATTATCTTTGTTAAATTTTTTTACATACATTAAAAATAATAAACACAAAATTTTTTTCTTCTAACCACACAAAAACATTTTGTTTCATAAGTATATATACTTATTAAAAATTTTTTTTGATAACCTCTATTTATTCTTTCATTTGTTGTGTAATAATTTTTTCCCCTCCAAAGCACTGAGAATTTACGTCGGGCATACCTCCACCGACGCATGTCCTAGGGGGGGGAGTTATATAGTGACATTTATGTCTAGTGATTTTTTGTAACAACAAATTAAAGGTCACATATTTTTCCTAGTTGTCACACTTTTAATGTAATCACACTCATGTTCGATATCTATTGTTTTTCTGTATCAATGGTAAAGAAATGAATACTTATGTTTGGTTATATATAACACGACTTTACTACCGCGCTTCTTAAAATATAAACGTTGTATCCGC